CAAGGCAAGCCCTCTACCACTGAGCCACCTTCCCAACCCAACTTAAATCTATTCTTAAGCCTGTAGGCCACTGTGAGTAGAGAGAGTTGAGTGTGTGAATAAATATATCCAGATTCAATTTTAAAAATGACTGTGAAAGACTTTTCAAAGGAAAGGGTTAAAAGGTGGTTAGATGAGCTGACCTGGTTTGGCCTTAAAAGAAGTTACTGTCCAATCCATGCAACCCCTGGCTGGGTGGAGGCTGGGAGCCTGAGAAGGGCCGGGGACAAGGACAGAAGGGAACTATAGCTACACCACGAGGCTAGCAGAGAAAATAGCTTAAAGGCAGAAGGCCTAGGTTAGTGGACAAGTCTGGGAACAAGTCAGGCCAAACTGCAATAAGGAGCAAGCCAGCATCAGTTCCTTCCAGTGAGGCACTAAGAAACAGAGTATCTAAACCATAACCACCACCTCTTAAGAAGCTCAGCTGAAAATCCACACAGTAAGATTGCCTTGACACTCACTGGAGGGAGCTGGGCAGAAGGGACGTGAAAGCAAGCTGAGCCCCTGGTGTCCTGGTGTCCTGGAAGTCAGGATCAAGAGGGCATCCTGGGACAGGAAGGCCCAAGCTGCAATGTGTCAGCCAGGAAAAATTCATACTAGACTCAGCGTAAACCAGGAGGCAGGACCTCAAGTGCCATGGGTGTCTAAGAGAGGAGACACTGGGAAGAGAAGGTTGCAGAGGCTGAGTCTGGCTGAGGGCCAGGGTGGAAAACCCCTGCCACTGTGTGGTTGGTTGGGCTCTCTGGGAACCTCTGCAACCCTCTAGAAAGACCCCAGGAGCATAAACAAAGCAATCCCTTAGCCATTTCTCCAGAGCTAGACATGGACAGAGTATGTCCAAATTGCTAGAGACCTTTTCAAAGAAGTGTTTCAGCATTGTGTACATAAATTAACATGCTGAATTAAAACCTTTCTGTACAATTATTTAAAGGGAAAATAAAGCATTTCAGAAGGGTAACGACGTTTTGTGTGCTATGGGAGATGGCTTTATGAACATGGAAGCCAGGGCCGTCGCAGAAGAGGTGCCCCTCAGGCACACATACACACACTGTACATGTGCACTCACACACTGTTTCTGTATCCCCTTTGGCATCCCATTCTAAATCCTTCTTTAGAGAGCAAGCTATATCTACATTCAGCATTCCTTTGAAGACCACAAACACCCAGGGCACAATGTCCTCAGGGAGAGGTAACCGTCAGCTCATATGGTCATGGGATGGCTTCTTCTAATGTGGACAAATGGAAACCAGTTTAGTAGCCAGTGAGATACCTGCATGTTACATGATGGTGTAGTCAGACTTCTCTGGTTACTATGGTTTCAAGGTCACTGGATGGAAACTAGGCAGCTTCTCTGGTATCTTTTCTATTCCTTTTCTCAAACTCAAAATGACCTGATAATTCCCTAACAACCTGCAACTAGAACTCTGCCGTACTGTCATTCTACCTATGTTCTGGAGACACGGCTCAAACACAATGTCCCACACAGATTTCATCATGCTTCTGAGAAAACTTGCTCTCTATATGCTTTCTTTCCTCATCATTCACTCTAGTACCCAAACTACAAACATGAGCACTAGCTTTTTAGCTAAGATCTTGGTGCTCTCCATCTGAGCAAGTCCACCACCTGCTACCTGTGGTCCCCCTGCTACTCTCAGAGAAGCAGCACCTGGACCATCACCTCCACACTTGCCACACTCCTGACACAGACACTTTTGAAAATGCAAATGTAATCACATCACTTTTCCAATTGAATATTCTTCAGTGACCCTAAAATGCACTAGAAAACAAGTCCAATTACTTGGCAACTCATACCTGTCTTAATCAAGAGCTTTTGTTCCTTGTATCTCTCTGGCCACAACAAAGCATCCTATGCAGAGTCCAAATTGCAAGCCTGACATCCTAATCCTAGTCCTTGCAGACTTCTCTTGTGCCATGGCTAGCAGTGGGTTTTCTGTTCCCACCGAGGTATATGCATTGCTTGACAAAGGCAGTACCTTGCTCATCTTGCAGTATGCTTTGCACACAGAAAGCATCCAAAAAATGTCTACTGAAGTATGCTACTGGTGAGTCACACCTCTAATCCTAGCTATTCAAGATGCTGAATCTGAGGATCAAGGTTCCAAGCCAGCCCAGACAAGAAAGTGTGAGTCTCTTACCTGCAATTAATTACCCCAACAAGCCAAATGGTTGCTCAAGTGGTAGAGCACTAGCTTTGAGCAAAAAAGCTCAGGGATTACACCCAGGCCCTAAGTTCAAGCTCCAGGTCTAGCACAGATACACAAAAAAAATTACAGCCCCTTAGTTAATCAAGGTGAGCCTGAAATACCGCTCACATCCTTCTTTCCTAGTCTCACTACCTGATGCACTGCTGCACTCTAGGATGACTTTAATTAGCACCTCCAATCATCAGGAACCCTAGACAGACTGAAGAAGCATGTATTAAAAAGTGATGCGTTTTCCCCCCTGTGAAAACTCGGCTCCCCAGAGCTATCAGTGAATGAGAAAAGTAGGTGGTCATCAGACTTAAGTTTTTTCATACGGCTTACCATCAAACCAAGTGAAAGAATAAAGGTGAACAAACGTACTTGTGCTATTCAGTATACACTATGTGGGAAACGAACTACGTCACTTGTGGGCAGGGACGTAAAGGGGGAAAACTATGGGAGAGAGAAGGAAGGGGTGACTTGTCCAAAAAAAAAGAAATGTACTCTTTATCTGACTTATGAAACGGTATCCCTTCTGAACCACGCCTTAAAGATAACAATAAAATTATATTGTTTAAAAAACAAAAAAACCCTGCTTTCACTATATTTGATGTCAGTATAACTTGAGGAGGAGATGGGGAAAAACCAGCTGTTTAAAGATACAGGTGGACCTGTTGCAACAATG